TATATATATATATATATATATATATATATATATATATATATATATATATATATATATATATAAATAAGAGAAATGGGAAAGAAATAATATATTTTTATATAAATTATCAAAGAAAACTCACGTGTTGTGTTGTTATATCAGTATCATTTTTTTGTATTTTATAATACATACACTTCTTCAGCAGATATTGACTTATTACTTGGCAAATACTTATTTCTGTACTTTGATTGCGTAACTCCTTATGATAAGATATGAGACCTTTGTTTTCATACTATTTATGTCATGTATGTTGCATAAATTTGTCATCGAGAAATAAAAATAAAAGATATGAAAAATCTCATCTACTAATCTAAAATGAAATTTCCTTGCTTCTTGCTCTTTTATTTTTGCATTAGCAAAGTCGTTTTGAGTTCTAGATGAATAATCTATGTACTAATAGTCTGGTGAATAGAAACTTTTCACTGTTTTGCCCCAAATTCTATCATTTCTGGCATATCATTGTCCTTTTGTAAATATCTGTGTCATTAATGTGTTGTCAATAAAAAGTTTCTCTTTGCTAACACACACATAGCCAAATAATATAACATAAAAAATATTATATTCTATGAAAATGGAAAACTAGATATAAAACATGATTTCCTGTTTTCATAGGCTTTTCATAAACTTATAAGCCTTCTCTGATTATTTTATAATTATATTTACAAGTATTTATATTGATGAAAGAGTTCAGAAAGAGCCTTAGCACATACACATTAACGCAACTATTGGATGTCTGTTATTTTATATTATAATTTTCAGAGAAGTTATTTTAAATAATTTTTGTTGTTGCTTGATTAATTAGTACTTTTATGTTCTGACAAGCAAAATGATAGTCTGCAAATTTGTAAAAATATTTACGAACCACAGTCGATTATTTTAAAAATAATGAACTGTGATTGGTCAATTTCTTACGGCTTAATGGCTCCTGCACACAGGACGCGGTAATGCTTGTCGCGCGGCGAAAGTCTGCGCGACAGCCAATCAATATGTTGTTTTTCCGTAAGAGCTAGAAGGTTATTACGGAAAGCAGCATATTGATTGGCTGTCGCACGAACTCCCGCCGCGCGGTAAGCATTACCGCGTCCTGTATGCAGGAGCCATAAGAATTAAAGCAAGGTTGTAGACAAGGGGTTAACCTATGTTAACTACCCTGTTAAGGCAGTTTGATATTTTGGCTCTAAAATGAGATAATTATAAAAAAATACTTTTATGAAACTATTTTATTTAACAATAAAAATACTTTTATTGAAATACATTTAACAAATTATATTTGGTTCATAATATAACATGGGCTCAAGTCATTGGGCGCGTTCAGCGAAAAAAGCGTTCAGTGAGCAATCAGCGATTACATGTTCTCAGGGTGCGTTCCCACTTAGCTCGTCACGCGTCACGTCGTCCTTCGTGGACCAATCAAATTGTCCCATTTTATTCGTTGTAAAGTTAGGTTGAGTTCCTACTTAGCGCGTCATGCGTCGCGTCGTCCGTCGCGAACTTATGGCTCCTGCACACAGGACGCGGTAATGCTTGCCGCGCGGCGGAAGTCCGCGTGACAGCCAATTAATATGTTGTTTTTCTGTAAGAGCTAGAAGGTTATTACGGAAAGCAGCATATTGATTGGCTGTCGCGCGAACTTCCGCCGTGCGGCAAGCATTACCGCGTCCTGTGTGCAGGAGCCATTAGAGCATATTTATATGGAGGGGAATTGCGTATGCCTCCTGTAGACTAAAAGTGTTTCCAAGATCTGTGTGAGAGAGAAAGGTATACATTTCTATTCCTCCTCTGTGCGCATGCGCCAACATGCGTCAGTTGTTGCTGGACTACAAAATTATTGGTTTCAATATTTTTTTACTTGAATTCTATCAACTTTATAAAAAAATAGCAAGAGATAAAAATTGTTTATTTTCTTTTCATAGAGCTCGGAGAATTTTTTCAGAATTTTATATTAACTTTTTAGTATTGCATTTTTTGCGTTTTCTTGCATTTTCTTGAAGTACTAAAAAGTTAATACAAAATTCTGAAAAAATTCTCAGAGCTCTATGAGAAGAAAATAAATAACTTTTATCTCTTGTAAACTCTATAACCTAATCTAATCTGTCATGCGCACAGAGGATTAGGAATGTATAGTTTTCTCTCTCGCACACATCTTGGAGACATTTTCGTAAGTAAGCGGACAAAATTCATAAAAAAAGAGGGGATAACGTTGGCGACGTTCAAAAGTCTCTAGGATCCATAAATTTATTTCTGAAGGTTATAATTGTTGGACGTTAGGAGAGTATACAGAAGTGTAAATTTGTGACAGGTTAACTCTGCACCTCTGTATACTCTTTTAACGTCCAACAATGATATTAATCTTCAGAAATGAATTTATGGATCCTACAGACTTTTAAACGTTGTCAACGTTATCCTCTCTCTTTTTATGGATTTTGTCCGCTTACCCTTTCGTGCCAGCATTCCCCCTCCATATATATGCTCTAAGGTCGCGGACCAATCAAATCGTCCTATTTTATTGCCTAATTTTACGACAAATAAAATGGGACGATTTGATTGGTCCGCGTAGGACAACGCGACGCGTGACGCGCTAAGTGGGAACGCACCCTAACTGTTAGATCCCTAAATTTAGACCAATTACATTGACGAATTGTTCAACTGTGTGGAACTGTTGAGTTCGCTGAACGCATCCAGTGGGTGAGCAATGTCATATATGTAATACTACTATATTGCTAAAAAGAAGAGAAGTCCGGCCCCAGAAGCACGGTGCGGGAATATATATTTCTCTTTCTTTCTGAGTATATTATAAACGTTATGCATCAGATAGATCGTATCCGCCAATGGGAAAATAAAATATATTGTATAAAGTTATAATAGGTATATATACAATATTCTATCCAGATAGCCAAACCTATGCGAGCAAATTTTACACAGAGTCTGTCAAGAGTGTCTGTAGACAGAATGGCAACAGATTGTAAGCAGAATTTGTTCTGACGACAGATTGGTGACAGACTGCGCGCAGATTCTGTTTCCTAGATAGGCTATTTAATTCTATCAAGGGTCATATGTACGTTATTAAATGAGGCAGTTTCACATACACATCATGTAAAACTGCTGCAGAGGAGTTAAGATAATTATATTGTGCAATAATTGTACACATATACACAATAAAAAACAAAATTTTTACTTTTTAAAATTGTATTACACATTTTTTTTATAAAAAAAACAACAATAATAGAGAAATAATGAGTACAAGTATAGAATAGTACAACGGTTAAATGGCCATTTAAAGACGTACGTATGCCATCCCTGGTAAAAATTGTTCTCATAATTTTTCATACAATTTCTTATATTATTATTTTTTTACTGTTATGTCATTATGTCATTAAATCTGAACGATTTAACCGTCATGCAATAAGTATTGAAGGCAGCAGCACCGAATAAAATATTAGTTTCGTTATGTAAATAACTTTTACAGAATTTTTGTGATAGTTTATTTGAAAGTATATTATGCTTCGATTTTGATAACTTAATACAACTTAATACAATCTGAACGGGACGATTAACCAAATTAATTCGCATATGTAAAAGTATAGTAAAAGTATAGTATTTTATTAACGTGATGGAAAAATGTCATTATCTACTGTTTTATTGTAGTAATTTTCTATACAGTCCTTGGTAGAAAATTAATTTAGAATTATCGTGACGGTCTCTCTTACATTATTTATACGGCTAAACGGTTTTGTCTATATTTTGCGGTTTAAAAGGCAAACAAACTCTAAGATTTTTCTTCCTTAAACTTTAAGTGAGCAATATAAAGCGCTTTTTACCAAGTGAGGAATTGGCGTAGTGTCTAAGGCGACGGACGATTATCCAAAAGATATCTTTGGTTCAAGTTCGAATTTCACCAGAAAAAATCTTAAAAATTAAAAAATAATATAGGAAAACTTTTTTTTTCATTGTATTTTACGAGTGTTCAGTACGGTGCCTGCATGCTCGTACTGAACGTGTATGACGGACGGCCGAGTGCTAGGAGCCGCCCGACTCGCGGGCGCCGGTCTCTCACCGCCGGTTCGTTCCGCCGCCGCGACGTGGCGACGGCGTCACCCGGAGCCGTCACTCGCGGTTAAATTTCACTTAGGCGCCTATATAAGGCGCCGCGCGAGACCACTCAAGGCTTTTTGATTGCCGGTGCGCGTCAGGTCACTGCCTCAGCGAGGTATTCTTTTGGTACTCCACCTAGTTTGATATCACCTTTTAGAGTGTTCTTGCACATTGCCTTCAAAGTGTCTATGATACGTTGGCTTTTTTGGTACGAAGGCTTTTTGACTGCGGTCACACATCAGGTCACTGCCTCGTTGAGGTATTCTTTTGAACTTCACCTAGCTGGATATCGCCTTTTGAGTGCTCTTGCACATTGCCTTTAGAGTGTCTGAGACACGTTGGCTTTTTGGTACGAAGTATTTTGGTAACTCCACGGATCTCCACCTTCTCGATACAATCGGCGTTTGCGAGAAGGGTTCGCGCGACCATTTCGGATTACCTCGAAGCCTCCACCGCGGTGGACGCTTCCCTTCGCGACATCTCTCGTATTGCA